GCAAGGGAGGCTACAGGAGAAAGAACTTACCTGGGAATGGCCAGGTTATTCTTTATGGCATGAAAGTTAGGGAGGCGTTCAGAGAAAGATGAGAAGTGTTGGGGAGTTTACAGAGGACAGATCACGAATTCCACTGAATGGATTTGGCTGGATGGAAAGAGACAGATCTGGGGGGAAATGAAAGGAAGCCAGAACAGTTTGTGTGTGCAGGTGACCATCGGTGACCTAGGAGATGTGGGTTTCTGGGTGACTGATAAAGCTAGGAGGAGAGGCATGGAGGGTGTGTGAGGAGTGTCACTGAGGAGGAGGCGGGTCACAGGTGCAAACTGGAGCACAGGGGGCCCCTGGATTCTCGTTCCCACCATTAATCCCATGAGGTCTGACGGCTGGGGGGCTGGACAAGGGCCTCACCAACTGCTAGTTTGGGCAGCGGCAGCTTGATACTGTGGGGGCCTCTTTTTGGCTTGAGGGCAGTGGTAGCCAGCGGAGGGAAAAGATGGTTTCATCTAAAGAACACGTTGCAGAAGCGATTTCTTTTCTCCAGACCTGGTGGTGATCTGCTGAGAGAGACCTTATCAAGCAGAGACTGTCCCTTCCCTCTGTGACTCTCACTTGTGTGGCAAGATTGAGCTCAATGATTAAGCACAGCCCCTCTCCTATGGCTCACAGAAGTAAGGCAGGACTAGGGGTTTAAGAGGAGGAGGAGGGGCCCTAGCCTGGCATCCACAGGACAAACCGGAAAAGGACTGAGCTTCCGTGAGTTGAGATAGAGGGGAAAGAGACACATTTATAACTAGACAATTCGGCACAAGCAGGCACTGAGCTAGAGAACTCAAAGACTGGAAGCCATTCGAAACGCAAAAAAAGTTGGGGCAAGTCTAATCACCTTTCCCTATACCAATGCATAACTTGAATCTATTACTTTATAATAAGTCATGGTAGGGCAAGTTTTTGTTCTTTTTATTCTGTTTAAAAATTGTGTTATTCATGTTGCTTCCCATCTTCCATATGATTTCAAGGATTGGATTGCCAATTTTCACACATACACACACACACACACACACGCACACACACACAAATACTGCTGTAGTTTTTCTTGGAATTGTATTGAATTGATGGATAAATTTATAAACAATTAACATCTTTACAATACTAGAAGTTCCTGTTCATGAACATAAACATTTTACTTATTTAGTCATTTTTATGGCCTCCGTTAAACTTTTATAATTTCTGCACAACAGGCCTTGCAACTCTTTAGGGTTTGTTTGTTTCGTTTCTTTCTAGATACCTTTTGAGGTTTGTTACTTTCTGAATAAAATTTTTAAAAATTAGAGTCTTTTGTCTTTGGCGGAGTGGTTTTCATAAATTGTTACTATATCCTTCAATTCTGTGGCACTTCCATATTTGTCCTGACAGCTTTTCTGTTGAGTCCTTTGGACTTGGATGTGGATACACAAATTAACTATGAGTGATAACATTTTGTTTCTTATTTTTAAAATTTATTTATTCACTTGTACCTTCATATTTATTGGTTTTGGGGGACCAGGAGGTCATCAATGGCCTGAGATAAACAACTAGAATAATACAATTAGTAGTTGAAATGTGTAAGGCTCCTAGCAAGTATTACAGTCATCATGGCAAAGCGGATACATAATAAATAAAACAATGCTGTGCTACCTTAGAATCGCAGGGCCTATTTATACATGGCAGGAATAGCCATGCACAAATAGATGGATGAGAATCACAGTGGATAATCTCTGGCAGGAAGTGATGCATTCATGGAAGGCAGGGGGTAAAGGAAATTAGGAAAGATGCTCAGGTCAAAATGGCAAAAAGTCACAGGGAGAAAGATAGTAAATCACACTTGCACGTAGACAGGGTGCAGCGATGAAAGGTAGCTCCTTAGGTATTTTTAGGAAATGTTTTTACTCCTCTGTCTATACGTTTAGCATGTACCACCCGTTAAACATCGCTGCCACAAAATACAAAACCTCGCTTCTCACATTCAATAAAGCCACTCACTCACCATTAAATGCCGAGTTCAGAACGAAGCCAAGCAGTGCCACGTCATTGGCACAGGGGCATTTTGTTGCTCTGAGGCCGACCACGTGTGGAAATAACTTTCTGATGTTGACTTCTGTTAGTACAGTCCCAAGATTCCACTGAAGAATGGGTTCTATGAAAATCAAGTTTGGGTGTTTAAATTGTGGCAGCAGTCTTGAAAACGGAGCATTGCTGCTTTCCTTGAAGGATTTTAGAGCAACTATGTAAATGAACTATCCCATTGTTCCAAAAATGGGGGCATTGCCTCACGCTCCGTCCATTAAAAATAGGTCAATTCTTATTCCCAGAATAGAAAGAAGGAAGCCTTGTTGCCCTTAATGGAGGCCTGGCAAGGTCACCCTGCAGAAGAGCATGTGAGATGGAACACGCTGACTGCCTTCATGATCTTTGGAAAATATAATTGGCCACAGGATCTACCCCCAGAAACTAAATCTTTGGGTCACAGGATATGCACATTTATAAACTGGAGCACAAATTCTTCTTCAAGAACCCATACATTTACTTTTATGTTTTATTATTTATTATTTATTTTTTATTGATTTCAGAGAGGAAGGGAGGAGAGAGAGAGAGAGATAGAAACATCAACGATGAGAGAGAATCATTGATTGGCTGCCACACTGGGGATCAAGCCCCACAGCCGGGAATTGAACCGTGACCTCCTGGTTCGTAGGTCGACGCTCAACCACTGAGCCATGCTGGCCTGGTTACACTTACGTTTTGTTCTCTTCCCCCAACACCATCTAAACAGCAGTAGATATATGAAAATGAGAATAAATCCAGAGTCACAGTTGAGAACAGGGAAGTTAATCTTTAGTGGCCAAGACACTCAGAGGGTTTTCTGGGAGATAGAAAGAAGTTAGGGTGGAACCAACAGAGAAACCAATCTGAAGTGGGACGGCTTCAGCCCAGCAATCTGCTCTTGGATGTGCAAAGGGTTGGAGCCAGAGAAAGTAAAATTTTACTGCGTAAGAAAATGGGAGGCTTTCTTTTCTTCTGGAAAAAAAAAAGAGAGAGAGAGAGAAAAGAGCATCCAAAAACGTTAAGCCAGGGAAATTTGACAGAATACTGCTCTCTGAATTTCAAAAATATCATCAAAAGACTTTAAAGAACAGAGATATCTGATAATCAATTCTTGAACTGTTTACATTTCTTCAATGTAAACCTCTTCCACCTGCCCAAACTTTTAATAAAATCTGCTACAAAACCAAAGGCTGCACGGGATATATTTTTCACAGAGTGCAAAGCCAGGAGAGGAACTAGATTTCCATCTGGGTTGACATAGTTTAGGGAGCCAAGAAGG